CTTAATAGATACTAGTATCTCAAATAATTTACTTGTGATTTATTTCTTTCACATGGTCTGGCAATCCATTTGGTAGCACATTTCATGTAGATGTTGACAGTGAAGGCATGAATTCTAGGAATTTATTCTATGGATAGTCCATAAGTAAACAAATATTCAGAGTGCAAGGGTATTCAAGGAAACACTGTTTAAAATAGCAAAATTAACCGGATATAACCAGCATTCATTAATAAGAGATCAGAAAAATAAATTATGGAAAAACCACATTATAAAACAGGAAAAAAAGTGCATCTGTATGTGGTAAATGTATATATACACACAAATATATATATACATTATATAAATATATGGATATACCATATGTACACTTCCAAGAACATACACCTATGTCCTTATTTATATATTTATAAATATTTGCATATCTGTGGAGTATTTCTGGAGGGATACATAGGAAATCATTAACAGTGTTTACCTTTGGGAGTCGGGTTTAGAGTAGAGCAGAAGGTGGACAGTATGTGAATTAGGGAGAAATAGATGCACTTTTCATTTTACATTTCTCTGTAGTGTTTGATTATGTTTTGTACCATTAGTATATGCTATTTCTAAAATGAAAACAAATCAAAACTGAAAAAGGAAATGAAAATAGAACAAGAACAACTAGGAAAATAGAGTAAAAATATTACACGAGTTTAAATTCTCACTGTCAATCTTTCTTCAAGTTAACATGACCCTGCTGTTGTAAGGAAGAGGGAAATTATTTCAGTAATTTCACAGAATGCCCTTACATGAAGAGCAAACAAAAGGATAACTCAATTTCCATGGCCAAAAGGGAATATGTGAACTCAATTTCCATGGCCAAAAGGGAATATGTGAGTTGTTTGTTTTAAAAAAAAAAATGAGCAAAATAATTTGTTTCTATATTCCCATCAAGCACATCGTGACTTCTCTGTCAAAGAAAGGGGAAGCCTAAAGAAGCAGAATCAAGACCACCAGTTATGTAGACTGCTATGAGCCAGGCATGTGCTTATTTAGTAAAGAGGTTAAAGGTTATTCAGCTTGCTAAGGCTTTGCAGCTAGTTAATGTCTGCTTCACTCTAACTCATTCCACTATATAATGCTAATCTCTTTTCGTACAAAAAAAAAAAGTGTCAACTATATTGAAGAAGCAGAGTATTCCACATTTTCAAAATCTTTAGAATATTAGCTATACATAACTGCTTAGACAATAATAAGGGTAAACATGTATGGCGTATACAGTGTGTGCTAGGCATCGTTGTAGGCTCTTTCCATGTATTCATTCACTTTATCTTTTGACAATTCTCAAAGAGAGGTACTGCTATCACAAATCTTAATATTCAGATAAGAAAATCTAGGCTAGGAGAAGTTATGTCATTTCTTTACAATAAAATTTTTCTTTAGCTACTCTAAAATATAATCCAATTGTACTATAACATATTAAAAACACAGGATATAAAAATAACTTCTAAAGACAGTCACTTAAATACATTTATTCTAAGATTGAATATAGGAAGATCAAAATATACAATTCTGACATGCCTATCCCAATGATCAAAAACTAATGATTAACTTTTTGTCATTATAAGCTATGCACACCCATACATATTCAAATTCTCTCCTATACTGCTAAAAAATATGAAGTAGAATCATTAGATGCTAATATTTTTCCAATTTTTTCAGTCCTATTTAACTAACATGATTGAATTAACAGTAGTCTAATCTTTTCCATAATGTTTGAAAAATAGCTTCTAGTCTAAAAAAATATTTATTTTGGCAGACTCTTTAATAAATGGGAAAACACAGGTTGGTAAAGTGACAACTTCTGACCACAAAGTAACTCATTAGAAGTAACCTACCTAGAATCAGAAGTTATTGAATTTTCCCCTTGTGGTCACACCACAAACCATGAAAAATATGTGGTTACCATCTGAAATACATTAAACTTCACTGGTATTTTAGTTTTCCTAAACCACTATCCATATAGAAATCAAATTAGTTTACTAAATGTGCATCAGCCATAGTCATATTTACTTAATTAAGAATTGACGAAGAAATATAATCTCTATGAAGTTGGGTGAAATCTCATATGCCATCCTAACTCTCCTCCAAAGCAGAGAATGCATCTAAAACATGTTTGGAAGTTAGTCATTTTTAATTGTTTGAATATATTTCAGTAAGTGGATGCTCTCTAGTTTTAGAAGCAGCCTCTTCAACTTTGACAGTTTTATTGGTTACAAAAGTTCTTAATTTCAACATCTGGGGGACAGTTAGAATGAATATGAGATTTCACTGAACTTAAAAGAGGTTGGTGTATTCTAAGACAGATAAACAAACAAAAACTCATAGACACAGAAAATAGTTTAGTGGTTACCAGAGAGTAAGGGGGAGGAGGATGGTAGAAGAGGGTAAAAGGGGTCAAATATATGCTGATGGCAGGAGAACTGACTCTGGGTGGTGAACACACAATGCAATATATAGATGATGTATTACAGAATTGTACACTTGAAACTTATTTTACTAACCAAAGTCACCTCAATAAATTGAATAAAAATTAAAAATTAGAAGTTCTTAATGTGAATCAAATTTGCTTCCCTAATTTTTGACCCATTTGCTTTGGTTCTTCCAAATAGAGCTATCTCTATAGTACATACTTTCTTGTGGCAGCTCTTCCAAAATTTGTAGACAGGCATCCCATCTCCCTAAGTTCTTTCCAGGTTAGTTATGCCTCAAAAGTTTCTTAAAGGACTGTTTTCTGACTTAACCATCGGCTGATTAATGTTCCTGCTGAAACATGATTCATGAAAGTGGTTAAGGGTCCCCACATTATCTGGACACTGTAGATTACAATGTAACCACAACTCCCCCAGCTGCCTCCATACTGTTATTAATGTACCCCAGGTCTGTGTTATTTTTGTAGCTAACTGTAGTTACTATGTTTAAGCAATCTGGTCACACATTTGATTGCTGAGTTTGTGTTAAATTAAAATTTCAAGTTGTTTACATTAACCCCAATCAGATTATGTCTTTTACACTCTAGTTTTTCAATCCGTCATTACAGTTTCTCTGTACTCTTAAGGCTGGGAGCTTGCTGTTTTAGCTATATTTTCAGTTCTGTATCATCTACTTGCCTGATAAGACTAGTTTCCTGTGTTTTCATCCAAGTCACTCATCAAAAATTGAATAGGTCATGGACACTAGCAAAGACTTTCAGCACACCACTGGGGACTTTAGCCCAGGCAGATAAATAACAACATACACAGGCACACATAAAAAGTTCAGCTTAAACTCCTAAAGGATTTTGTAATCAAAGGGTATTTAATTAGCAAAGAGTATTTAATTTCAGCAGATATTTAAGTTTTATGTTACATGGTTTCGATTTATTTTTACTTTTTAATTGTTTGGGGGGTATGGATTTAGAGAACGCCATAAGCTTCCATAATTAGAGCTTCTCAAAATGCTATAAAACAATTATTCTATGAGGTAGGAATTATTATTCCTATATGCACATTTAAAAACAAAATTTGGAGAGAGTAAAAAACTTAAGGTTATAAAGATAGAATTCAAACCCAGATGCAGGGCTCCAACTGTTCCAACCAGTTCTATTAACTAAATAGTTCAGTTCTCTTCTTCAGCTCTCTCAGCTATAATATTGTACCTGGGAAAATATCCTTTCCTTGAGTCTGTGTGGTATTCTCTCATAATAATACCACCTCAACTTTATTTCAATACTGCTATAAGGTGGAAATCGCACAGTCTTCTAAATGAACAAGAAAAAAGAATATGCAAATTCCTGAATGGACCTGTGTACATAAAATAGTTCTCATGCATACTCAGAAACACATATGTAATTATTTCTATCACATGAAAGATGTAGCAATACCATTTTGTAGAAAGCATTATTATCAAAGGCAGTATTTCAGTGGAGCCAATTAGCGACATCAATACTGCTGTAGTGGATCCAATTCTCACATTAGCCTCTTTATCAAGCAAATCAGCATAGGACACTAGAGGGAATTTGGGATTTTAGTCAGAAAAGGAGAGTTCAAATCTCTCTAACATTTACTAGTGCCTCAGGAGAGTATGCTATGACTCCTCGGGTCTCACTCTGTACTTTCTCCCAAAGTGATCTCTTTCAAAACAATGGCTCCACTTTCCAACTCTAAGTCAACAATTTTCTAATTGGTTTCTAGAGTGCGTGCCTCTGTTCTGAGATTTCGTCCTGTCTATCCTACTTCTCTTGAAGTCCCCATTGGAGGTCTCACAAAAACTTCACACTGAGCATGTCCTAAACAAACAAACAAACAAACAAACAACAAACCCATCATCTTTCTCCAATCTTCAGTGATCATTATTTCAGTTCAAGGTACCACCATCTACCCATCCACTTATGCCAGAAACTTGGGAAATACCCTTGGTTCCACCTTCTGCATTCTTCATAACCAATCACTACCTCCGATAGTTCTATTAAAAAAAGAAAACTCTCAAAAGTTTCCACTTCCCTTTGCTTCTTCTGCCACCTCCTGGTTCACACCACCATATTCTCTCCCCTGGATACAGCCAGTGCTACATAATTTGCCTCCATGTCAACTATTTCTTGACCCCAATTCACTACAGAGAGATATTTCTAAAATCCAAATCTTGTCATGCCACTCCCTTGCTTAAAATAATTCTAGACTTCCCCTAGAAAAAAGTTTAGATTTCTTACTGTGCCTTAGAGGGTGGCTCACATCACAAGCCTCATATCCTACCATCCCCTGACTTCCAACCCTACTAGATTTCTTTTCATTTCCTCAAATTCACTATTCTCTCTAATGTTGTACAGCTTACAAGGTTTTTCTTGCATTGATCTCCTGGGAAAGCAGTGATGGAATTACTTCCATTTCAGTATAAAGAATATCAGATAAGCAGACCACTCCACCTTGATTCATTGGAATGTTGAAGGAGTGGGACTGAGGAAAAGGGGAAGGAAATGAGTTACCAACCTGAATGAGCATCCAGCTGAACTGGCAAAGATACAGGTAATGTGTGACAGCCGCCACGGCCGAACAGCTCTCATCTGTGAGTTGGGGACTTGCATACGCAGATGCCAGAAACACCGTCTGTAAGAAATAAACACTTGTATTTTAAAATCATACTAAAAGTCAATCAAGAATATTCAGAAAATACACTGTTTTCTTAGGAGAATCTATGATTCAATGACTCAAAGAGACAGTAAGTTGATTTTCTGCCCAGACTGAAATGACTAAGACTTCTAAAAACGGCAATACATAGATTTTTATATTTCTAAGAAATAAATTATACGAATGTATACTACATGATGTTTTGAGCTGTTAAGAGGAAATTCTCAAAGTAAATCTTGTTATCATTGATAGACAAAAATCCCGCGAAATACATGTGTTTTCGCTATGGGGGACAGAGAAACGAGCGGAAATACCATGCCTTGTTTAAGTCAAAGCTAATGGAAGAGAAAAGAAGCAAAAGCTCTTACTTTACCCTCATGTGCAATCCTCTTGCTGAGAAGTAACACAGGTAACAAAGAGGACGAATTAAAATTTAAATTTCAAATCCTATGATTAATCCTCGTGTTTTTATTTCAACTGCTCTCAAGCCTTTGTTCAAAAGTAACCTTCACAATGAGGCCTCTCTTGACCATGCTATTTAAAATCATGCCCCTTCCTTTCTTCCTTCCCACCCACATGATTCCCCCGACCCACACTTTTCTTTCTTGTTGTTTTTTGTTAAAAAAACAGGACTTATTACCTTCTAACATGCTCTATAATTTGCTTATTTATTATGTACAAATGGGTTCCTTGAAAAAATAAAGTCAACAAAGTCGCCTTTCCAGAACATATCACAAATAGCTTTTGAATGATTAGAGCTTATTTTAAAAATATGCTTAGATGGTCCTAGATTTTAGCTTCTAACTTCTAAATTGTAAAATATTATAGGTCAAAATTGAACCTTCCTAAAGTCCACAAATATTCATTGAACACTAAGCACAATAACTAAAAGACCTTAGCAGCACAGAACTGAGTTTCGGCCAAAAAATAATAATCATTTTAACAGTTCATGTTCTGTCTTTTCACAAAGTGGCATCTATTTCCATAAAGTCTGTATATGTGTACTTACAATAAATTTGAGACTCTCTAATTCAATTCTATAATATGGAGTATGCTGAAGTTTTGTTCTGATCAACCTGAGCAGTTTGCTATGCATAAAATAATAGTGCAATCCAAATTGTAATGGAATAACCCTAGTTTTACGCATTCTATGAAATAATTTATAAATGGTATGCTAATTTAAATTATTATTCCTTTTGATATTATTTTCTTTAAATGAAATTAATATAGGATATTGTTTAAAACTGTATTTACTTTCAGAATACTGTTTTAACACCCCACATTCCCTTCTTAAGGTGTGACTTCACATTTTATTATGTTTTAATACCCTTTTCTAAATTATAAGAAGACCAATCTACTTTTGTAAACTATGAACATTTATCCAGAATGTTCTCTGAACTATGAGAAGTAGTTTTGCCCACGTGGGAGACTAGTCAGGAAGAGAAAGCTGAGGCGTCACAATGCATACTGCTACAACGGGGATGCGCTAAGAATACTTAGAGAACCAGCTAGTAGATGTAACCAGAACTACCTACAATTAAATTAAATTGAATTAAAATAAAAATTAAATGGTTGAAGTAAAATAAAATAAAATTTCCTAGAACATTTAGTTCACACATCTTTACTTTACAGCACATAAAGTAGGAAACAATGAAGTTGCACCATTGTTCTTTTACTCAAACACATAGAGATGACCAGGAAAAAGACTATTTTCACAGTCTGTTTTCTGGATGCATTAAGTTGAATATAGGAAGAAAAAAAGAGAAAAAAACAGAAAATTTTCAAAGATTCTCAGTCATTCATGTATTGATTCATTTGGTAAGTGTTTGAATACCCACAATCTACAAAGCATTATGCTATGTATGCAAGATGAAGAATATGATGGCAGAATACTATTGTGTACTAGCAAGGTGCTCCATGTTTTGTGTGTGTGTGTGTGTGTGTGTGTGTGTGTGTGTGTGTAACTCATATATTAGTGATGTGAAGTTATTACTGTTCTTATCCCAATTTAATAAATAATGAAAGAGGATCTGATAGGGTAATTAAGTTGTTTAAGGGTCATTGAAGAAGTTTTAAAGTAGGATTCAAACCCTGGAGTTCACATTTGTAAGACCAGAGTTCTTTTTAGAACACCATGCTACTGACTACAAAGCTAAATCAAGAACAAGTCCTATGTCAAAGGGCTGAAATTCTAGTTCACTTTTTCTCAATCCTTTTTGACCCACAGTCCACCAAAGGTTCATGCTAGCAATATAATATAATGCAATAGCAAACATAGTATTATTCTTAATTCTATACTGATATAACATACATACATCTTAACTAAAGAGAAAAGAAAAAGAAATATATTTACCAAAAGAGAGTATCTGATACATTTTGTTAATAACTTAAAAAATTTTTGGCTTCTTCTGGTTGATTAAAACTCTAGTGTAACAGCCCAGGGAGGAAATGATGAGGGAAAACAAAAAACCACACACATAAAAAAAAACCCTAGGTTTTTTGTTTGTTTGTTTGTTTTAATATATATAGCATGTATCTCTGCTTGGTTAGGCTAAATAATAATAATAAAAACTTTTTCTTGTGAACCTCAATTCTCAGTACTCTTTAATATATACTCCCCACCCCATGCACACACACTTTACTATGGACATTCTCATTCCTTTGGCTATGAAATGGCCTTTCTACTTCTTAACTAAAACCTTCTCCGTTTTTATAAGACCAGTTCAAATTCCACATGACAGGCTCCTAGACTTTCCTTTCTTTTTTTAAAGTGGCACAGTACTTGTTATTCAGCATTTACAATGAGCCACATATTGTCCTTACTAGTAGGAGAGTGCCTAAAGGCAAAGTTAGGCACACGATGCAATAAAATACGACAGATATGGAGTAAATTATCAGGAGGATGCAGTCAAGATTGCTTAGTTCTGCTTGTGGGAGTCAAAGAAATACCCAAGGAGAAAACAGAATTGCTTTGGTTTGGCCTACAAGTCCCATCTGCCCCACCTTCTCTTCTGAAGTTTATTTTCCACAAGACTTTTCCAAAAGTTCTACTCTAACTACACTGATTGCTATTCCATAACACATGTTCCATCATCTCTCAACTCTTTGCATTTGTTCACCTTCCTTCTAGCTTGAATTTCTGTTTCTCATCTTCCTCTGTTAAAATCATGTCCATTTTTCAAGGCATGATTGAAATGTCAATACTATTATGAATATATGGCTACTTTTTTCAACCATAAACAACCTTTTCCTCCTGTGAATTTTTAAAACAGGATTTTTTAACATAAAAACTGTTTTTTCCCATAAGCCTCAATTTTCCCAATTCTTAGATAAAATCAGCCTTAATCTCTTGGAAACTGTCAACTCCAAGAGATTAAAAATCAGCTCTAATCTCTTGGAGAACTGTCAACTCCAAAGAGGCAACAATTTGATCTTATCATCTATTATAATTATTTTAAAATACATTTCTTCAAAAAGAAAACAGTAAGTATTCACTATCCCATACAGACCCTGCCATGGATTTTAAGCATAGTGTTTTCTAAAACAGCTTTATTGAAGTATGATTGACAGATAATAAATGGCCCATGAAGTGTATAAACTCAAAAGCTTTGACACACACACACACACACCTATGAAACCATCATCACAATCAAGATAATTAACATGTACATCATCCCCAAAGTTCCCTCATGACCTTCACAGTACTTCCCCACACCATACCTTCTCACGTCCCCTAAGTAACCTGTTTTCTATCACTACAAATAATTTTGCATTTACTAGAATTGTATGTAATTGGAATCATATATATTTCACTCAGCACAATTATTTTGAGAGTCATCCAACATAATGTATCAATAGTTTATTCTCTTTTTATTGTTGAGTAGTATTCCAATTATGTGCCCTTTCATACATTGATGGATATTTGGATTGTTTCCAGTTTTTCACTTTTACAAAAAAAGCTGTCTTGAATGTACAAGTCCCTGCATAGACATATACTTTCATTAATCTTGAGTAAACATCTAGGGGAGGAACATCTGGATCATATGGTGAATGTGTATTTAATATTTTTAAAAATTGATAAATTATTTCCCAAAGTGGTTGTAACATTTTACATTCTCACCGGCAATATATAAGTGGCCAGTTGTTCCACATTCTCACTAAAACTTGCTCTGGTGAGTTAGTTTTTAAGATTTTAGCATTTCTAATAGGTACACAGTAGTTCCTCATTGTGATTTTAATTTGCATTTTGTTAGTTATGTTTTATTTTTCTTTTTTTTAATCAGGTGAAGTTCCCCTCTGTTCCTACTTTGTTGGGAGTTTTTATTAGAAATGGATAGTAAATTTTAGCAAATGCTATTTCTCTATTAAGGTTATAAAAATATGATTCAATTTTTGTTTGTTAATGTGATAAATTATATCGATTGATATTTGAATATTAAATCAACCATGCATTGCTGGCAATAGTCATCACTTTGTTATGATATATTATAATTTTGATTTACTATTGTATTAAGACTGTCTCCATCAATGTTCATGAGGAATATTGGTTGGAATTTTCTTTCTTGTAATGCCTTTGTCTCATATTTTTATCAGGGTAATTCTGGTTTCAGAGAATGAGATGGATGTTTTCCTCTTTTTCAATTATCTGGAAGAATTTGTGTAGAATTATTATTTTATTTTCCTTAAATGTTTAGTAAAATTCACCAGTAAAATCATATTAAGACTACAGTTTTCTTAGTGGGAAGATTTTTAAATATAAATTTAATTTCTTTAATAGATATTGAGCTATTCAGGTAACCTATTTCTTCTTGAATGAGTTTTGGTAATATGTGCCTTTTAAAGAATTTGTCTATTTCGCTGAAATTAGCAAATTGATTGGTATAAAGTTATGTATAATATTCCCTTGCCATCCTTTTAAGAGCTTTCTATTTCAATGATTTCTGTTCCATTCTTTATTATCTATTTCCTCTACATATTTT